CTCTCCTCTGGGGCGGGGACAGAACCCTCTCCTCTGGGGCGGGGACAGAACCCTCTCCTCTGGGGCGGGGACACGGGCCCCGGTCCGGCCCCCGCTGCCTCGGGCCCGCTCACATAACATCGGGTGCCGGTGGGTCTGTGCTCAGGGACTCGTCGCTGAGCACGCTGAAAAGAAACAGTGTTGCCAGCATCAACGACGTTCCCTTTCCCAGCCTGCCGATTTATCCTAAAAGAAGTGTCCCAAAACTGCAACAGGTGACGTGTTCTCAGTCACAGGTGGAGTACAGGAATCTACTTGCCGCTTGACAAATAGCTGTGGAAATCAGCGGCAGAGACTTCCCAGTATTCCCCTACTGATGCCAGTTTTTGTCTAGTCTCAGCTGGCAGCAGTCCCTGCTCTCCCACACTCCCAATTGTACGGAGGTGACAAGAGGAGTGTGTAGCCACACTTCAGGTTAGAATTACAAGCTCCTGGAGGCAGAGATTTTCTTACGTGACAATGCTATTTACACTTGAGTCCTGTCCATTAAAGGTGGATTTTCACTGATCATGTCCTGCTCTTTTACCCTCAGAGTTAAATCCTTTAAAACATTTTCAGCAGGGATCATGGTGGGGTCAGGAGGAAGAGTGCAGGAACCAGCCTGAGGCTCACTGCCTTAGAGGATTCACCTGGTGTGGTGTTGTTCTCCTTCTGGATTTGCTGGAGGTTGACAGTTTCCTAGCGCTGAGCCCTACCTATGCCCCCGAAAGCTCAGGTGGTACCACCTCTCCCTTTGTTGTTACCTTGCCCCTTTTGTCCAGACCTCTGTTTAGGCCAGAGTTATATTTAACTGAGCAGTGAAAGAACAGCAATACATGTGACTCTAGAAGAGCTACAAGATCTTTGCAGGTGCAGAGTTCGTGGGGAGGTTTCTGTTGGCATTTCAGTTTTCTGGTTCCTATTTCATGTGCGTGATTTGTCATTGGGAGTGTGCAGCGAAGGGGCAGTAAAAGGGGTAGGTGAGGGATGGGAAACATGCCTGTCACTAGATGGCATAGCAGGGCCATCTGAGAGCAGCCGAGAGCCTGCGGGGGCCTCGGCAGTGATTTCACAGCCTTTGCTGAAAAGATTCTTGTCCTGCCTGTGCGCTGTAAGCCCTGCTGGCCCAGGCAGCTCACCCTCTCCTGTCATTTCCAAGTTGTAAGAACCGGGCATAAGGAAGAGAGAGGTTGTACAGAACAGCAAGCTCTTTCCTTAACCCTGTCTTTCTCTACAGCTTCAGTAACTGCTCTTTTTCAAAAGGAAAGTCTTAAAGGCGTATTAAAATGGTAAATACAGCAGTTGAAGTCTGGTAGCCTACTGCTGGGACACAAAGAAGGACTGCCTGCAGTGACTTGTGAGGAGGATGACGGCATGCTGTGGTGTGCATGAGAAATCAAACATTTCACTGAATCTTAATTATGCTCTTTTGCATGTTCTGCATTTGACCACAAGATATGAGAGCACATCTCGCCGGATGAATCTTTTTAAAGTACTGATAAAACACCATATAGTGTCAATCACCCTTGAAAAGAGAAATTTCATTCACCATTTTGAAAGGAAAATGTTGTTTGCATGTTTCTGAATATAAATGGTCTTTAGCCCTTCCTGAGGAACTCATTTCCCATAAAGTGACTGCACCTGCTAATATGATTTGTATCTTTATGAAAGTATTAGACTTACTGGGAGTCTCTCAGAGACAATTAGAGAAATGATATTCCAAAGTTAGCATGCCAGGTGTAGTGATGTGTGGAATGGTGTCAATTTGTTCCCAAAGGCAAATGTGGGCTTCTGTGTTCCTGAGGGCCTCATGTTCCTTAACAGAACTAGCATTTTCTACATAATCTAGGTTTGTGCTGGGGTAAATAAGAATAGACCTTGACTGCTGTCATTTAGTCAGGCTCATCACGCAGAGTGTGTTCACGAAGTGAAAACATCCAGATCAGTCTAAAGCGATTCAGTTTACGGTTCTTCAAAAATTAATTTGTCTTCATCCAGCTGGTTGCAATAGGAAGAGGTATTTGGGGACAAATTAAACCTTACTGCAGTTCTACAGATGCTCTTGGGGACTGCATCTGAATCAGTAATGGCTCACTCTGTGAATCAATGCAAACAAGCAATGGTACAGGAAAGAAAAGCATTCCAAACACTTACTCCAGAGGCACAGTCAGGCATATACTGTCCTGTCCTGCCACTGGGATATAAAGGCTCAGCTAACAAAACCCTGTTAGGTAACTCCTCCTCTGCTGCACTCCAAGTTCTCTGCAAATACTGAGTAAATAAGTTGAAAAATATGTTTGTGAATTGCAATAACTCTTTAACTATGAATTTTAGAACCTGGTCTGTTCCTCAGTTGGTCATTGCTACTGATGTCCAAGAGGAGAGACTTCAGTAGGAATACAGCTGAAAAGGGGAACACAGCACTGGGACAGCCCTGTCAGAAATGTGTTCTAGTTGGGGGTCACCTGTGTTCTTCAACTACTTGTAATACCTTTGGTGCCATTTGAAATGTTAAATAATAGACTCTGATCCCAGCACAAAAGAGGTAAATCACAGAATATTCTGAGATGAAAGAGACCCACAAGGATCATCAAGTCCAACTCTTAAGTGAATGGCCCATACAGGGATCAGACCATCTTGGTGTTACTAGCACCATGCTCCAATAAACTCAGCTAACCTCAGGCTTTAATGCAGGCAAGAGGTAATACTTGATGATGCCTGTCTATTTCTCAAGGAATTCAGTGGAATGTTTTTGCACAAATATGGCTTACTCACTCAAAAAAGTTTTAAAATATCTGAACTTTAACACTGTTGATTTCAATATAGACTTTGGGGCATAAGCAGAATGGAAAATCAGACTGTTTGTGGGAAAATCAAAATATTTTTCCTAAGTATTCCCTAAAGTAAATGGTTAGTTAATTTAATGTAGTACTGCTTTTAAAACTGGCCTAAATTCAATTTTGTAATTTAATAATAAATTTTTAAAAATCCATTTTAAATCTCCTAGCACTGAAATGGGTACCACAAAACCCTTCTACAACATAAATGATCTTTGATTTAAATTTATCTAAGAAAATGTTTTTATTTGTTTGTTTGTTTAGGTGGATATAAATCGACGTTTTCTGTATTTTTCATTTTGTTCAGAAAACTAAAATATATGCATGTCATTGTTGCTTTTATCAAAGCTCATGTATTCAATATACTCAAGTTGCTTATAGTAAACATTTTGATACATAACAAACCTGTTTAATTAGTCTGTGTAGACAGGATAGAAGCTGCATTTTCATGCCAAGGCCATGATTTTCCCTGTGTTTGCAGTCTTATCAATCAAAACTGACAGCAGTAAGAGTTGCAGCTGACAGCTTGCTGAGCCCCTGGTTTGTGGTTTAACTGCTTCAGTACTGGCAAGCCCAGTCATCATCCCAAGTTTGTCTGGTCCCTCAAAGCAGTGAGTAATCTGGTGATGTTGGCCCTGAGTGCCATGGGATGGCAGCACGGAGTAGGCGAATTAGGAGAGACGGGAAGATCCCGAATTCCTTTGCGTTTCCATTCCGTTTAAGGGTGTAACTGTAGGAGCCATACCCCGCATGCCTGGATTCCGTTCGGGGCTCACTGCAGGTTTCAAGCACACCGTATCTGGGTGCTGACTCCTCTAGCCTCTCTTGTCTTCTCTTTTGTCTACAGACTCGTGCAGCAACCAATCCCCTTCTCAAAACAGCATGTCTAAAAGCAATAAGCAGAATACCCCCATCAGTTGGTATTTGACAGGGAGTGATTTATGATCGTTTTGCAGGGGTTTTGTTACTGTCTTCTTCAACACCACCTGCTTGTTCGAAGAGCTTGCTATTTGTCTTGACTGCTTTTGCTCAGAGAACCTTTCATAAATTCTTACTATATTTTTTATTTTTCTTGACTTTTGTCTCTCCTCTTCTTTTTTCCACAATAGCTTCTTCAGGCACCACACACAGTACTAGTTTCAGAATCACGAGGGAATTTACAGTGGAAACGTATACTACTCCGTGAAAATTAGTTTAAATCAGCAGTCATATTTCAGGCAGCCTGTTTAAAGCAGTTCACTTTCCTTAGTTTTCCCACTCATAATCTCACATTTTCCCTATACCAGTCAGCTATTAAATTGTCTACACTGCATCATAGTCATTGTATCCATTATTGAGAGAAGGTGGCAATGAACTAACTTCCTTTGATATGGCACGTTGGATCCTGGTTTACCTCCGTCTCATTTTGCAGGAGTATTTGCGTAATTTATTAAGTCTAGATTTTCCCTCTTTCCAATTTACAAGGACATGAAGAAGGGGATGGAATGTAAGCTGTGAGTACGTGAGGAAGGTGTTCCTTCAGTCACTCAACAGTGAGTGACTCCTGTACCAGTGATACACTGCTGTCTCCTCTGGGTCACTGGCTGTCAGTTCAAACCAAGGTGGCTGAAATAAACTCAAGAGCTATTTTCACCTTTGGGCTGGATCGTTCAGTTTTGTTGGTCTCTGACATGCCTGTCTCTGTCGGGCACTGGTGTCATGCTCCAGCATAGCAGTACAGTTCATGATCTAATAAGATCATGTTTTACCCTCCTTC